GGGGCTTACATCGTCCACTTGCTGCTCCAGCTTGGTCTTAGCTTTGGTCAGAGTATTGACTTTGTCCTCTTCTGCCTGCAGGTCATCCAGTGTCTGCTGATGGGCCTCTTGGAGGGCTTTCTTCTCTTTTGTCAACTTGGCAATGGTCTCGTCCAGTCCTGCCATCTCCTCTGTGAGGTTTTTCACCTTTGAGAAGAAGGGAGCAAGTGTAAATAAAAGACATAGATACAGCAATCCTGTAACAGCACAGCACTCTGTTCCAGAGTGTGAGTGACAGGTTCCGCCTTGTACCTTGTTTTCCGTGGCATGCTTTTCCTTCTCCACTTTGGCCAATGTTAACTCAAGGTCATCGATATCTTTCTTCAGCTCTGAACATTCATCCTCCAGTTTCCTCTTCTTGGCTGTCAGCTCAGCATTAATTTCCTCCTCATCCTCAGCCCTTTCAGTCACCTCCTTAATTTTGGCTTCCAGTTGGATTTTGGTTTTGATGAGCTGGTCACACCTTTCCTCAGCATCAGCCAAGCTATCTGCTTCCTGGTGGGGAGACACAGATTCTCTTTGGTTATAATATTTGGAAGTTTCTCTGCTTTATCTTTTATCTTACTAATTTGACCTATGTAACAGCTATGTCTGAAAGAGCCCTTCCACACAAACAGCTGAACAACACTGTCATTTTTTCTGTGGGGGAAATAATTACGCACATTCTCAGTTTGGAAGAGCTTCACTCTTGTTTTGGCTCTTTTAAAAATATCTGTCCAAATTTGTACTTGTGAACATACCTCCTGCAGTTATAGGCATCATAAAAAATGACCATCTCTCTAACTAATTTTTCAAAGGAATGGGCTTGCAGAATTTTTGCTTCCTACACAATAATCAGTGGCTTCCCTTTTGTAATTGCTGGTAAACCAGTGTTATGTTGGGATCTAAAAAATTTATTATTCTCAAGAGAAAAATTGTTAGATAAGAAATAATATCGCTCTTAAATATTCATTATAATTACTGCACACACTATAGAGGAATTGCCTTTTTAAAAGCATGCGTTCTTGACAAATTTCCAGGCTGTCTTTCTGGGTTTTCAATGCTGATTTCTGCTGGTGTTCTATTCCTTTGGTCTTTGGTGTTTTATTCTAATAGATTTGTCCTAAATGAGTTTAACTGACAGATACCTTTGTAAGTAAGAAGATTAAAATCTGTGTCTACTTTTCTCTTTTAGACTGAGAAACTTCTAGGTGTCCCATTTTCTAACTGAAGACTTAAATCACTATGTAACTAGGGGAAACCTGAATAATGTATTTGGCAATTTCAGTGCTTTCAATAATTTAATGAGTAATACGAATTGCTTTGTAAGATGGGCTTTGAATATCAAATACTGTTGGAATGTATTTTTTAATAATTTCTCTTTCTAAATTTGATGTGTCTACAAGCTTCTTGGGATAATGTTAATACAAAATCTACCACATGACATATGAAAATCCATGTTGCAGGTGCAAACCACTACAGTACTCAGAAAGGAAATGTTTTGCTTGATTGCTCATGTCCTTTGTTATTCTGTTTTGTACTAAATTATGACTAAATAATAGAGATCTATGAAGTGCCTACCCAGAGTCACCACCCAGAGGTGGTTTAATATTATTATACATACAGATGTTCTCCAAATTTGGTATATATATTTTGCATTTAAGGGTTATGGATTAAAGCAGGATGGGCAGGACTCAGCCAGCCGTTTAACTAGGGAGGTTCAAAATCCACCTGTATCAGGGTGTATCTACCTTTTCCTTTTCCTATTCCCAGGGAACACTGAGCACCCTTGAGCACAATAAAACACCATAGAACAACCCTGGGAGATGAAACTTTTGTTCAGAAGCTGAAGCTCCAGATTGATTTCAAGCCCTATTTCCCACTTCCTGAATAAACAATAATCTATTATTTATTAAGTGGCTGAATTTACAAGCATAAGTTTGAATTCTAGTTGCATTTACTGTCCAAAATTAATTAATCCAGGTCATCCTGCAGGACTCACCTGTTCAAAGGGAGTTGCGGGTTCAGGTACAATGCCGTCCTGAGTATTTAATCTTGGCTAGCTACAGACAGCTTCTTCCTCAGAAAGCAAGAGCACTGACTCCCACTTGGAGCTCCCTGCCTCTTTGTACTAGCTATCGGAGTGCTCGCTATGCTACTGTGAGACACTAGTTTCTTCAGATTCACAGTCAATATGATGCATAATTCAACAAGTATCTGACATCTGGCCATCTATAGTCTGGCCCTCTGCTTGCAAAAGAACAGTGTGAAAGACTATTTCCTGAGTGGGAAATAAATGGCAGTACTCACAGCCTGCACTTGCAGTTGCAGATCATTTTTTTCCTGCAGCAAGGAAACCATTTTCTCCTCCAACTCCTTCCTCTTTGCCTCAGACTTTGCAAGCTCTTCCTTGGTTTTCTCAAACTCTTCCTTCATGTTGGCCATCTCCTTCTCAGATTCTGCACTCTTCAGCAAGGGCTTGATCTTGAAGAACAGCTTCATCCAGGGCCAGTGCTTCACATTCATGAATGCACGAATGTTGTACTGGATACAGAAGATGGATTCTCTGAAATGAAATTGACATGGCTTTGCTGTGATAAATTTGAACTTCGTTAGCCAAGTACCATGAGAACAAAATAAATACGAGAAATATCTACCTCCTCTCCACCATTCTCTGGTACTCCACTCTCATCAGGAAGCCCCTGCACCTGGCCTGTGTGCGGGTGATGAGCTGTGCCAGCTTCTCATCCCTCATCTCCTCCAGGAGTCCTAACAGCCCAGCTTTGAAGAACACCTTGAGAAAGGGAACATTGCAGCACATCACTGGCAGGTACAGCAAAGCACAAGCATACAGAGAGTGAGTCAAGGAGGGTTTGTACCTTGGTGTGCCCAAATTTGTACTGGGTGTGGTCCACATCGATTGACCCAAGAAGCTTCTCGGAAGCCTTCTTGCTATCGATGAACTGTCCCTCTGGGATAGCACTGGCATTAAGCACCTTGTATCTGTGAAAAGAGAAAGAAGATGTTAAGGCTGTTTTACCCCAGCCAATGCACACTAGCTACTGAACCCCACCAGCTCATATGTAGCTATTTTTGACAACAGAGCCCAGCCTGAATGAACCTCTATGAATTCACCAACATTGCTTTTAAGGATGCCGAGAGGTGCAGTGCTCTTACCTCTGTTTGAAGTCAGCATAGAGGACTCTGCTGGGAAAACCTTTCCTGCAAATTCTGATGCCTTCCAGCACACCGTTGCACCGCAGCTGGTGCAGCACCAGTTCATGCTCCATGGCGCCTAGCAATTCAGAGCATAAATGAATACCACAGTTCCCAGTGTGGAGGGGCAGAGATTTATTGGAGGAAGTTCTCTTTCTGCTTAAGCATCTTACCAGGTGTTTTTGTTTCATTTGGGATGATGCAACGGACAAAATGGGGGTGGGTGCTCCGTAGATTGGTCATCAGCTTGTTTAGGTTCTCCTGTGGGACCATGATTTAGTATGTGTTTATATGAAATTTGGGGAAACTAACTCTCAGGTTCTTTGAACTTAGGCCTGTCAATGGAGATGGGCTGAAAATTACGAACTGATAATACCTCAAACAATATCTCAGTCCCCTCTGATTCAGAACATAGAACATCACCTTTTAGGATAAGAAAAAAAATCCCATCAACCCAATGAGAGAAAGGGCGGGAGGACTTCACAGTTTTATGACAAAAGTCATGTTTATTTTAAGTGTAACTTTAGGAATTCACAGTGTCAATTTTCATTCCATAAGATATAGGTTTTTTAATGAGGATCTGAACGGAAGTTGTTTGTTTGCTTTTTTACTGTGGTTGAGCCAGTGAAAGTGCAGTTTAATTCTAATTTACACAGATGAAAATGTAAAGTGTTTACTTACCCGGAAAAGAGCTGAGACAGTCTGGAAAGAAGAACCCTTCTTCTTGCCACCCTTCTTGCCACCACCACCACTAGCCTCTGATAAAGTGAAAATAGTGAAACATTTATGGCTTTGGGGCACATTCCACAATTTTGCAGAACCACTGTGCACCAGAGAAATGACATTTCAGAGAACTGACCTGCTTCTCCACCAGCAGAGGCAAAAAGTAATGCCAATGTCTTGACAGATGATTTTTGGTATAAGCCAATGACAGTTTCGTTCAGGGGGTCCTTGTTCTTCTCAAGCCAGCCAGAGATGTTGTAGTCCACCGTGCCAGCATAGTGCACCAGGGAGAAGTGGGCCTCAGCCTTGCCTTTGCCAGGTTTAGGCTTCTGGAAGTTGTTGGACTTGCCCAGATGCTGGTCATAGAGCTTGTTCTTGAAAGAGGTGTCAGTTGCCTTGGGGAACATGCACTCCTCTTCCAGGATGGAGAAGATGCCCATGGGCTGAAAGACAGTACAACAAAAAAAGAGTGAATGCCTGTAGAATAATATGATCACAACTTGGTCTTAAAAGGAATGTAGTAAAAGACAGGAGGCTGAGAAACAAACCCCTACCCTTGCCATGAAGCAAGTTTCTTTCTAAATAGTCATTTTAAAAGATTCACCTGCTTGACTCACACTTTGCATGGTGATTCAGGATTTATTTTGATGCCAAAACTCATGTTAAAAAAATCAGGAGGAGAAAGATTATATTTAAGAATGTCTTTCCCAAATGTGTCCATTGTTTATTTACTTCAGTGTCTGTACTCTTAATCAACTCCCTAAATTACACGGAACTACAAGAATTCTCTTTCAGTTCCTTGCACGCAGAGGTCAGCCACTGACTGTATTGGCCTGTGCTTAGGTTTACTATGAACCATCTAGAAAAAAATGTATTGTCCAGATAATTTTATTCCAGAACCTAAAGAAAATATTTTGATTTTACTTCAGGAGCTGCTCTGTGGTTTTTTGGTTTTTGTTTAAATCCTCTAATGGAGCAAGTGGAGGTACCTTTCACACACAGAAGGTGTGTGAGGAATTACTTCCATAGTTATCTGTGGACTTTGTAATATCTCTAGTGCATAATGAGCAATAGTACAGAGGGAGAGATTTTTCAACAACTAAAACTGAATGCATGAAACTAACCATGGAAGAGACCTTTTTTTTTTTTTTTGAACAGCATTTAACCCTTTGCAATCTAAAACAATGAGGTCCTGAAAAAAACCAAGATATTTTGAATTAAAAAGGTACCTTCTCAATGAGCTCAATGCAGGCAGCCAGGTCCATCCCAAAGTCAATGAATGTCCATTCGATTCCTTCCTTCTTGTACTCCTCCTGCTCCAGCACGAACATGTGGTGGTTGAAGAACTGTTGCAGTTTCTCATTGGTGAAGTTGATGCACAGCTGCTCCAGGCTGTTGAACTTGCCGGTGTTAAAAAAAACAACAACCACCCATGGTCAACATGCACAGTTCTTGATCATTCTCAACCCTTTATAAATCTCCCCAGTTAAAAGACAACTGTATTAGCAGGACCACACCATAGCAGGACCTATATACAGCTCCCCAAAGAAATATCTACACAATGACAATGCAATTTTTTTCCAGAGCA